CGCCAAAAGACAGTTTCTATGCGTCTCTCTGCAAAGGGAACGTGTTGCCTAGTTTAAAGATTTTGTCCATTGAATGTGTGTTAACAAGGAAATTCCAACAAAAACTGAAGTTCTGTCGGGCGCTGGGGGGGGGGGGGGGGGGAACAGCGCCGTTTTAACTAGAGACCAAAACAAGGAAGAGGTTTTGTGCCACCAGAGACAAGCAACCTCACTAACCTGTGTCATCATGTCGAGCAAGATCATCCACTGAAATCTAAAGTCGTAGATTCATAAAACAGGCAGCAAACTATTGTATCAGCTCCTTCACACGTAAAGAAATGAGCTTTTCTACATTTACTGTGAGCAAATACGAGACGTCTAACATCCAAACCAGGCTGGACCTTCTTTGTTTTGTTTTTTGTAATAGTTTCCATTCTTGGCCAAAAAAAATATAACAAAGGATTACTCTCAAGGGACTTCCTGATTAAACAAAAGCTTTAACAAATATTGACAGCTATGAACACTGTCCATATTTATGTTTTCTGCCAATATCCCACAGCTATAATTCAATCAATTCTTCCATGTAAGAGACATAATTGCACCCAGTGTCCAAAAACTTAGACTCGAAGACTCGGACCGGCCAATAAAATCCCTTCTTCCCTGATACCACACGTACAGCTACAGTGCATCTGTGTCAGATAAGATATTCCATCAAACCTACTCCTCCTCTGCTCCTGATTGGTTCACTGTGGTTTTATAGTTGGACAGAGTAACCAGCTGCCCACCTCCAACATAGTAACAGAGACAACAACACAGTACAGTCTAATTGTTTTGGTTTCGTTTTTACTGCATAAGATCATGGTTTGGTTTCAGATCAGAACACTTTCTGATCCCTGACCTACTTGATGGGACAGGGATAGCTCAGTAGGTAAGAGTGGTGACCCCATGATCGGAAGGTCGGGGGTTCGAATCCACTGAACGGCTACCCTGAGGTACCGTCCCTACACACTGATCCCTGGGGGCCCAATGGTGAATGGGTTAAATGCAGAGAGGAATTTCCCAACAGTATACATAATTATACTTTATAATAAATTGGATCTTATACACACTTGGTTTATTCTGAACTCTGAAAACCCTAAACATGAAAAACACATTTTTGGTGGTGACATCTTATAAAGCAGCTTTAATTGATCTCTCCTTGAACACACGAGCTTCCTCCGATATCCGCCACACCCCAGGCCGATGGCTCCTTTTATTGTCTCCATACTGAGACAATGGTCACCATACTAGTGACCACGGCTGTTTAACAAACAGGCTTTTTAGCCAGACTCCTTCAGACATTTTCAGCTCCCTTCATTCCTTTAAATGTTGTTTTGAAGCAGGAAGGCAGGCTGGGAGAGGGGGAAAAAAAGCAGCCTGGCAGCCTTTGCATGCAGTGTGGTGCAGGATGCATTGTTCGGTCCATTTGTCCTGACAAAAATGCCACTCACAGTTCGTCCTGAGCCAAAACCGGGCCATCTGAACTTTCTTCTCCTTCTTCCAGCCACACAGTCTCCACAGAAAGCATGCGAAAGTGGGCGGCAAAAGAACAAACTATCATTGTGCCCAGCTGCCCACCTTGCCAGCAATGGAAGAAAACTCAGTGTGCGTTTTGTGTTGTTGATGTGAGCACTTGTGTGTGTGGAGGGGGGGGACGGCTCACTGTAAACAAATTGCACTGCAGAACACATCTGCACCGAAACACATCAACTCTGATTGTAAAGGACTGTTTGTCTAAGAAATAAAAAGCATAATTAACACAGGTATAAAATCGCCCCAACGAGCCACCTGACAGGTACTGTAAAATGGAAATGATTCCCATCTACTGCCCACAACCCTTCAGTCAGTTACAAAGTCTGCATCCATGTCACAATCAGTTCAGTACAAACTGCTGTGAGATTGAAACGGCTGTCAGTGTAGGAAAATAAGCTCCGATAACCATCAGAGTCGGTGACCACAGTTGATTTACGAGAGGAAACGTTTCCCAATCACTGCTCCGAGCTCCTGACAGGAGATGAGGGAAGAAAGGAAACTCTGGCATGTAGGTTTCTTTATTTTTGTCTCTTTGCAAAGAAGAAATCTTCACCTCGGCTCTTTCACTTGAAAAACATTTATCAGCTGCTGTTGTCCTTTTTGTGTGAACTATCCTAAAGCTAGTGGTGGGGCAAGTTTCCATTAACCTCAAAGTAGTATCACTTTGATAAATAAGAACAGCCCCTCTCTGGTGATGCCAAGTACTTTACTACTTTCCTCGTTAGCTCATCCACCCACCTGGCCCTGCCTCCTCCCTGCCACGTGACACAAAAAAGTATGCGCAGCCTAACTGTTGCTGAGGAGCTGGATTTGCATGAGCAGTCTGCCACAGCGGCAACAGTTGCAATAAAAAAAGCCTTCGGTGGCGTCACTGCGTACTTTGGCGTGTTTGGACGTGCGACCGAGCAGCGAGAAAGACTTAATTGCACGTTTGTCAGGCGAGGAGCTTCGTCTGTAACAAACTGCAATTTACTGGACTTGCGTGGGCTCGGTCCAGCTACTCTGGGGTGTTGAGAAATGTACGAAACGGACAACTACAAGGACAAACGCTGCTTCTGCCAAAGAGCTGAAATGACTCTCACAGGAGTCCTGAAACAAGTTATTCTGGTGCAGCATAAAGCCAAATGTCTTCTTTTCAAGCACCTCCTGCATTCGTTTCTCTTTTCTGGATTACTGAAAAGTTTCAGTGTTTGAGTGTCCTCGTGACTCGATGAGGTAGAGCTGCTCTGTGTCCCCAAAATTTAAAAAAAGGCCAAACTAATAAAAACCCAGCTGATTTTCCATTCTTATATCACTCAACGCTGTCAATGGGCTGCAGGCAGCAGGATGGAAAATGTTGCTTGTGACACACTGCTCCTGTTTTTGACCTTTCAGACTCACCCCTCACACACACAGGGAGGACAAGCCATTCCCACACTCATTATAGCCATTTGTCTCGATATGCTTGCGGGAGGCATATCTACATTTTTGCGTAGTAACTGGCACAGCGAGTTTGAATGAATACACCACAGGAATTTGCCCTTGTACCCCTCCCTACCTCCATCACTCTGGCTAAATGTTTGGCAAGGGGACGCGTCCCCAATCAACCAAATACCCATCAGCCTCCACTGCAGGACCCAACCTCAGCACAGGTCTGTACTGCAGGCCTCCGCTCTGTTAATGATTGTAGGAGAGGTTTTCCTTTACAAGAAACTTTGACCCGTGCGATGTGTGGGCAAACACGCAGAGCGCGCACAGAGTCGCCTAACCTCAGGTGGAGGGAGCGTGATGTCGGCGATGACTAAAATGCTGAGCGGCTTAACAGCAATGCAGGAGTCGAGGCTCGGCATGCCGTCACACCAACAAGAAGTATGTCAGTCATCCAGCCAGTCAATGAAAGAGATACTCTTAATCATTCCTCACTTCAAATTATCTTCCATTAGACCGCCTCGCCGCTCCCTTCTGAAGATTTAGAAGGTAAAGCATTTGATGTGGGAGCGGTTTAGTGGTGTGGTAAGAGCACGGGTGCATCACAGGGCGGGGTAATTAATCGGAAAGTATAAAGTGATTAGTTTGTCTGCATTCTTCTTCCCTACAAAGACCTAATTTGGGTTATTTTACACATCAAGTGCATCCGCTGAACTTCACATCTGCTAGTCTGGACGCAGCAGCAGCTGTCACCCTCAACACCTTCTCATCTGAATTATATCCAAGTTTGGGAGGGCAATCGTACATCATTATAAGACTAAGTTTAGGATTAATCATGTTACATAACCAAAATAATTGTATTTTTGCCATACTCAAGCAGCTCTAGTGTAACATCATTTATAACCACTTTGCAGAATATCAAGCAGTTCAAGAATAAAAAAGCTAGCTCAGCCATTGCTGAGGAGGAAGAAGAGAAAGATGAGGAGTGGACAGGAACGGGACCACGTTTCAGATTATTGAAAAGACTCAAAATGTTCTTATTGGGGTCAGAGTGTTGGTGATCTGTGAAGCTGAATAGCCAGATGCACTCACGGTGCCAACTGAGTGGTTTCATGTTATTTGGCTTCTCCACATTTTTGCTGAATAATCCTAAAGCTGGTTCAAATCTGCAGCTCAGGAAGTGGGCGTCCAGAGCTGAGAGAACCACTGTCACACCAGAGAGAAGTACTCTGCTCGTACAGCATTACTGCTGACAGCTCAGCTTTATTTCATTTTAACACCTTAGCACTGTGGCTTGGGATTAAATAACCTCGATCATCACGGGATCTACAAATCACTATGTAATCATTTGTAACCGATCTCAGAATAGCTGCAATGACCAAAGCACTCTGAAGGATAGAAGAGAAAAAGTTAACCGCGAAAGAATTTCAGTTGCCCGCATATCACCCGAAGCATCTCTCGAAACGCTTGAGAATCCTCAACTTGAAATTCTCTGAATATCGGCCTTTAACGCCACACTATCGGTCGGATCTTCCAACAATTTTATCGGCCTCCAACCAACCACACAAGCAGGCGTGCCAGGAAGGCGAGCCGCCTGCACGAAGCCTTCGTGAAGTCCGCTGTGCGGTTATCGTGAGGCTGAGCTGTCTGCACAATCACAGCGTGGATTTTTCTGCAACAATGTGGCGCCTTGTTTCCACTCAGAGGAGGGGGAAAAATCACATCTGAAGGAGTGAAAGCTGCAGCTAATATCACACACACACACTCAGGACTTTTCATTCAGTGATTTAGAGAGAGGAAACCAGCTTATGTGGGGGGGCTTTGCACCGAGGAGTAGAGCTCGGAGGACACCCGGGCTGAGGAGAGAGAAGGCGAATAGCACTGGGAGTAAATGCGGGGTTTGTGAAGCTACACCGAGGCCCACACTCGGTCTCTGACCTCCCCATCGCATCCTTCCTCCACTGCCATTTTTCTTTCTGCCCGCCTCCTCCGAGCCCGGCTCCACTCGGCCCAGCTGGGCCCCGAGACTTCGGCTGCCTTACCTTCCTCTGCTGCTTCTCCCAGGCCGGGTCCAGCAGCAGGTCTCGGTCCCAGTCGTTCTCCTGCTCCATGTACATTTGCGCCCCGCCGACGGTCGACTGGTTATTGGCAGCGTGATAATCTACCATGTCAGCAAAAGACCTGAGTGCGCCACGGAGAAACTGTCACAGGCAAAAATGTACAAAAATAAAAAATAAAAATGGGGGGGGGGGAAAGAGCAAAGACGACCCAAATCAGAGAGGCGGGACGGGGAGGGATAACCGAGCCAGGAAAGAGTCCTTCTTCTCTCGCCGCTTCCAGCCGTGAGTGTTTTTAATGAGATGAATATCCGGTGTGTGCCGCTGCTGCTGTGTGAAGAAAAGCTCTGCTTCTAAACGGTGTGGCTGCTGGGAGGAACCGGCCGCTCCTACACACCGACACCGGCAAGCACGACCCACCGAGAAGACGCACTTCCGGTGACGCCTTTCAAAATAAATCAGATGCGCGTCACCGTTCCTCTGATTACTTTCTTTAAAATTAATTATACGTTATTACTATTTCCTGTTGCACTGATTGCAAATCAGGGGCGCCACCAATGGGGAAATAGTGGGGGCACTGGCCTCCCCACAAAATTTGTTGGCAAGACCACTCTATGTTGGTAATAATTTTAATACATTTAATAAAGAGGAAGACACCCTACAATGAGTTGAAACGTTACCTTGTTATTAATCCTGCAATTTCATTCATTTGTATTGTGTCACTTTGTATGTCCCCTCACTATTTCCTGTCCTGGGCCACCTTGATATTTTTAGTGGTGCCACCCAAAATTCTGGAGGCGTTCATGTTGCAAATCCCTGTGTTTAAAAGTACTTCATATGCTTTTTGACTGAATTAAAGAGTAATCGTTTTTCTCCGGGGGGTTGTTGTTGTTGTTTAAGTGCACTAGGTAGATTTCCTCTTTCCCTAAAAGTCTAGTTATTCTTTTTAAATTAGTCTGTTAAGTCTGTGAAGGTTCTCACTCATCCAGGTCTTGGTAATCTGTGAAGCTTAGAAGGAAGAGCGACCGGACATCTTTAAGATTCTTTTCATTTCACCTCTCATTCCAGAAGCTTCATCAGTTCTAAGACCAAATGGTGAAGAGTCCCAGCTATATAAGCCCTAGTGGGAGTTGTCTCTTAAGAGAGTTGTCGACTCACTATTGAAGTCCAGTCGCTTTTCTTTCCAAGCTCCTTAGATTATTCCAGTTAACCAAAACAGCTTTTTTCTCCTTTTTTTTTTTGTAAGAATTCACTTTTAGTGTGCACCTTGCTCTAAACGTTTTCATTTGTAAATATAAAACACAGTTAAGTTATTTTTAAAGTTTTGAGTCAATTGGAAGTAATGAATGTGTTACTTGAAGATTCTGCGATCTTGTAAATTTTTGAGATTTTCTTTGCTGAAAACCGTCTCAGGCCACTTTGGGACTTAAGGGTGCTAAAATGTATTTGCTGTGTTTAAAATGACTTAAAAACCTTCCAAGATTAACTCATGCTATTAAGATAATGTGAAGAAACAACTGCTATGACTTTACTTCATAAACATCTTTGTTTTGTGTTTTTGATATTAACGGAAGTTGGTATAAGCTAGGCTACACATTAGTGTAATACAAATTGATACCACTAGGGGTGCAGAAAGTCAGCGCGACCTTTATTTAAGCAGGTAAGTCAAGTTTTGTTGTTAACAGACACTAAATCAGCACAGAAGCCAGAAATGTTTATATTTCAAATTAAGTTTCATTTGGCTTCACATTTATGCTGTAAAAAGCTCTCGATTTTGTTTTCCAAACAGGTTTAACTTCAATTTTTGAAGTGGTATATGTCAATAAAACCCCAAACCCTGTGAACTGTGTGTAACTGAGAAAACACATATAAATAGGAAATCTTACCAAAAACAGAAAAAAAAAGTCTCACCTACTTTCCACTGGTAGTGAAGTATTACTTATGTACAATCCCGTTAAAACAGGTAGAAAAACCCTCCAGTGTTCATTCAAACTTTTACAGCTAGAGATTAATTTAAATGGAATCTAAATAAAGTCCAAAAGCCAGCGTGATCTTTCTTTCTATAGCTGTTTAATTTTATTTTGAAAGTACCATCGCCGGTTTCCCGCTATGAATCTGCAGAGACCTGACACACTTGTCCTCCAATAGGCCAAGACAACTTTCATGAATATTCAATACAGCATTTGAACGTGAGCTGCTGAAACAATGAAGCTTTATAAATTTGAAATATTATCCGAAGTATTTACAAGCGAAAAAAAAAAAAAAAAACAGATCCCCGCCATGGTGGTTTAACTGACGGTCATTTATCACGACTGCTTCGCCCACATTTCGGATTCACAATATAAATTTAGACACTTTAAATTATTGGGGTTTTTTTGTTTGTTTGTTTGTTTGTTTGTTTGTTTGTTTGTTTGTTTGTTTGTTTGTTTGTTTGTTTTTTAAGAGCAGGAATAAGTGTGTGATTGTATTTGGATCACACAATCAAAATCAACAGGGTCACCACAGTCAGGGCATTGCATTTTATTTGATTTTATTTAGAAGCCAAACTCATGCTCATGATACAGAATCCATCATTTCACAATCATACTGGGGGCTATGGACACCCCTGGGGGTCCAGGGCTGTCACAGGTTCCCCTCAGGTGACTCCTACTGACTTTTACAACTGTAATTCAAATAAGTAATATTGTCCTGGCAATATATCACTGGGGTCACAACCAAGCTCGGTGTAATGATACTGTTAGCAGTAACTCTGGGTATTCTTAGTATCAGAAGTAATTAGCATGACTGATGAGAACTCTGATGACACTGACGACTGCAACTGTCCCACACATGAGAAAGTATGTTACACTATTATATTATTGTTATTCCAAAAGTCTTTGATCCATAAAAAAGTAAATATTTCATTTTAGTCCTAAACTTCTGATCCCCATATTTGGTCAGAAAGAATCAGAACACAAGGAAAAATAGAGATCTGCCTGTACAGGCCTCTCTGCAGGCTTGATGTCATCAGTGTGCCTGCTCAGCGGACAGATATTAAAGGTCTCGGATGACAGTGGCGATGCTGAAAACAGTGTTTGTTTTCTGAAGTCGCTGCTGTGATTGCAGCTGATGCAGAACTGCATCAGATTTAGGAGCTGGAATGAACAAAGTTTTAAAGAGCAGCGTAGAAGAAATCCTGTGACTCTGAGGTGGGCAAAGATCCACAAAAAAGCCTCACTCAAAATATGAACCTGATTAGTTTCAACATGGCATAGGGGTCTGTTGTGTCTCTGTGCTATCTTTGCACTCTTCACCTTCATTGTTCAGATTTAAGGAAATGTGGAGTCACAGACAAAACACTGGCTATCAGGTCAGCTGGTGTGAGCTTCCTGCAGCTTCCAAAAAGCTAATTTTCAGTCTGGCTGAAAGCAAAAAAACAGGAACGAGCTGTCTGGGATGGACACGTTGGAACGGTTGTTAGAGATCACTGCTGGGGAATGGTGGCCAGCTGGCCTAATCACCGGAATATTCATCAGCGCCTGATGGTTCATTCATTTATAGGTGGCCCTTGTATTTTGGAGAGCTCACACTTGTTGTGCAGCAGGAAGACACAGTAGACTGAAACAAGCTGTAATAATCCGTTAAATTAATAACATGGACAGACAACATAATGCTGCCTGGCCAGAGGATTCTTACTTGGAGACCAAGAAGGAATACTGCTATACAAGCCTATTGCTTATAAATGTAGTAAATTATGAAGCAATGACAGACGTCACAGCTTCCTCTGATAAAGAAACAGCTCAGAAAATGAAAGCAAATCTTTTGCTGCTGATTCTTGTGCAGCTTGTGATCATAAAGTGGCCATGATCCGACCCATCTGAGAAGCACTGACCCAGAGGACTGGCATCATAAAACAGGAAAGCCTGAGCTGCGGTATCATCGCCTCCATCTGGCAGGAGGCGGCTCAGGCTGTTTTCAGGGTGACTGTCCTGCCTGCAGGAGCCACCTACAGAAGTAGGTCACGCTCAGGCTGTCCTTCTTGATTAGTGTCACAGCGGCCCAGAGCAGCACGTACAGCAGAGACTGCAGCGGGACAATGCTCCACCTCTGATGTTTTCATGTGGGGCATTATGGTGCTGCTAACAGCTCAGTGCTGCAAGTACAGTCTGCGTCTTCAGTCATCATCAGCAGGCCACTTGTGAAGTCCCGGATAGCCGGTGAGGCTAACGCATGAGTTGATGATGTAATGCTCTGCACATTCCCTGCTTGTGTATCTTCCAATAATATTTCTTTTGTCGTGTAAATATACAAATACTGACAACATTTTGCATTCAAATCTCAGTGAAACAGTTCAGATGTCAACTATCAAACATGAGCTATAGAAAAATAAAATTCATTTGTTTCCCCTCCATCTTTTCCAGAGAGATGTGCTGCATCTTGGGAAGAGAATGCACTGCTTATTTAAATACACTTAAGGCGCCTGAGAACTTCGGTGATTCATGAAGATATAAACTCGTACCTGTCACTTTCTACATCTATTATATTGCACTTCACTGCATTTCTCTGACAGATTTAATTGCTGCTTACATTTAACAGTCATATTCCATAATAGCACTCCTGTCTAGGGAATAAAATCACACATTTTGAATATGAATGTTTCTGAAAGATAAATGAAAGTATTAAATGTTTCCTTTATGGGTAGAGAAAATTTGTCAGCTTGTTCTCTTAGATCATGTGGGAAATGCCACAATATCAAGAGGGAAAGCTGAAAAGGACAGGAAGTGAAACCGAGAGAGGAATAAAGAGAACAGAAAGTAGAAAATAAAATGGGAAATAACTTGAAAAAAAGCCCTGAAAACCACAACTGTGGTCAATTAATAATAATAAAAAAAACCTCTTTTGTCTTTTCCTGACCTAAGTAGAAAAAAAAATCATGAGGTCAACAAAAAGCATGAAGGGCAGTTTAATGAAGACTATTTAATAATGTTGGTAACTGCAAGGACCTGAGGATGGACTACAACAAAAAGGTTTTACCATGTTGCTTCATGCAGGTCATACAAAGAAAACAGCAGATGGGAAAAGCTCATTCATTAGGTTGGAAATATAAAGATAAAGTAAGACAAGATAGCCTTCATCAGTCCCATAGTTGGGAAATTCAAAGCATTACAGCAGCAAAAAGAGCAGGAATAAAAAATAACACACGACACACAAACAGAAGAAAAATGTACACTCTCTCTCTCTTCCTCCTGAAAGGTGGTTCAGTCTACATCCTGCCTTTATTTAGGATTTGTGTGACTTGATGCTATGTTCAGCTTTTTAATCTTTATTCACGGCGCATCAACATCATAACAATATGGTTTTTATACATTTTAATGCAGCAGTGTAATGTTGCAGAACAGAGCATCTGCTTGGAAAACTGTTAT